ACGCTTATTAAATTATATATTTCAGTACCAATATTCATTTAGTAATAAAAAGTAGATTTACCTTAATATTTATTTCCCACTTTTATTCATAATTTTGTTACAATATATTTTGCTATCTCCAAAAATAGACAGTACATGGGGTCTATAGTTAAAAACCTAATTGTGTTAAAATAAGAAACTTAGTACAATTCTGACCAATATATTAGTGTTTTTGATACATGATTCTTTTATTGTTGTTCTGTTTCATATTGTAGCTATGCATATGCATTAATTTTAGTCTTTTCAATATCACGTTCAAAAAACCATTCCTCATAATCATCAAACTCTCTAAAATTAGATTGATTGTCAATAAAATTTGCATATTTCTCACACTGATAGCATGCCATATATGCAGAGATGAACCTATATAATTTTTGTCTTGCAGAAATATTACATACACAAAAAACTACAGTACTACGAATTTTTCTATCATTTAGATATTTATATATATTATATAACTCAAAACTACACTATAACTCTAAAAGTTTATCCATGATGGGTGCTAAGAAATGATTAATTTAGTATGTTTGTGCCTCTTTTGGACTAGATAAAAGAGCAAAAAATATAATATTATGTGATTTAAAGCACTTTTCTTTTAGTAAGTTACATATTGCCTCATATAAAGTACCAACACTATACATTGAATTTTCAAAGGGCTGAAACCAATCTAGGTTTAATATAATACCTAGATGGCTATCAGCATGCTCAGTATCAAAGAAAGACCTTTAACTAGTATTATCTTCAAACTCCTTCCAAATTAGGCCATTGTATATATTAGCTAAAGTGTTTTTATTGATACATCAATTTGGCCATTTTTGTAATAAATTTTTAAACCCTTCATGCTTATAAATTAACTGTAATTGATCCCTAATTCTTATTGTTAAAAAAATCATTTTGGGTTTATAAATCAATCCTTCTTTAATAAGAACTTTTTTTATTAATAAATTTTTACAGAGTTTTTTTATTTTTGACATAGAATGCAGGAAATATTTGATATGTTGATATTTAATATGTGTTGGATTTGGATATATATCATTTCACTGACAATCACTTCACCAACATCTTAGTTTATCAACAATTAATTTACTGACAAGTTCATTTTACCAACAATTAATTTACTGACAAGTATTTTTTATAAACTACACTAACCTTAACTCTAATTCTAGCCTGACCTTAATGGCAATAGCCAGAATTACTTTGTTTGTGAAATGAGCTGTTGGTGAATTGTTTGTTAGTAAAATGAACTTGTTGGTGAATTAATTGTTAATAAACTAAGCTGTCGGTGAAGTGATTGTCAGTGAAATGAGCACTACCCATTAGATTTTGGTCTGAGTTATAGTAATAATATCTTCATGGTGATATAGTTTGTGATATAGTGTACAGGTCGCATAGTTTTTAATATGAAGACATATTTCTAATGCTTATCACACCAAATTAATTAATAATAAAAACAATTCAAATTGTTCTTTGTCAATTAAAATTAATAGATATCTTATAAATTTAAATAAAGTACTTGTAGCAACTTCAAAATGCTGAAAGGTTTGCTAATAGTGAAGAATCCAAATAATTATCTGTTTAAATTTTTTTTAATATTATTTACTTTTTGAATAATTTATAATCAGAAATAATAGGTGCAGCAAATATTTGATTGTCAGCAAGATTATTTTGATATTCATCTTCCTCATAATCTAAAAGAACATTGATTGAAACAATAAAATTAGCAAAAAAAAATAATTCAAGTGAAATCAGTAAAATTTAAATGTCTGAATCAGAATCAAATAGTTCTACTTCTTTATTGTAATCTGTATTAAATGATTCAACTTCCTCTTCATAACCTTGATTGCTTGAAATGTGATCAGATTCCTTCATATACAAAGCAAAGTCTTTATTGAAAATTTCTTTTGCTTTGTCAATTTAAGTCATTAAATAACTTTTTGCTTTATCATTTTTCTTCTTTACAAAAAAAGAAGGCTTGGATGGAATATCAGTAAGAGAAGGATTAGGCAAATATCAGCAAAATCTATTTTGATATCTTTCATTATTATTATCAGATAATTGTTCTGGTAATTCTAATATCGATATTATATTTAATCCTGATATTGATGTAGTGGGTTGATAAAACCCATATTTTTTTAAATTTTTTTTTTTAGTTCTTGGATCTACTTCCTTCTTTTCCTTATATTTTTTTGCAAATGTATACAATAGATTTTGTGTTCTAGGAGTATCTTTATACTCTATTGTATTTAAAAAAGTTGGAAATAAATATTAAGGTAAATCTACTTTTTATTACTAAATGAATATTGGTACTGAAATATATAATTTAATAAGCGT